ATTTAAATATATAATAATTTTAAGTATATATTTAAAGAGTATATTAAAGTATATTTAATATTTAAAGTAAAACTTCTGCTACCTTTCTTAATCCTTTTCGAATAAGCATAAATAAAAGAACATATCCCGAAAGCAATAAATACAAATATAAACGTGAACGAAAGATATTATAAAGTTAAAAGAAGAATACTATAACAAATATATTGGTGAACGTGCACACATAAATATTTGCGAGTAGGTGGTTCTACAACTTACGTAGGATATTTCTCGTATGTAAAACCTCGGATCTTGATTTTTAAATTTTGCGGTAAGGTTTGCCACAAATATGAAATTTTATACTCGAAAGTATTAAATTCATCGCGTCGTGAATCCTTTCATTCGTTTAATGCACTCTCATAATACACATTGTGATTAAATTACGATTTAATGAAAATTCGATTAAAAAATATTGAAAAATTTAAACCCTTAGTCACATACATAAAAGATATTTGAACGTAGGTAAATATTTCATTAACGGAATAAATAAACAGATTAAAGGCCAAAAAAATGATTCGATTTGCTTGCTGCTTTATAAATTCTTTGCTATAATCACCTAACGATGTGATAAGTGCCATGTTAATTGTATTCTTGCAATTACGATAATCATTGGAATGTAAAATCCTAATGGACAATGTGTGGTATAAATTGAAAAGAAAACCAACAAAATGTAATAAATTATTGAATTTGTTGATATCGATTTTTCTTTTTATTTTCATCGACGTTTTTATCTCCTCGTTTCATTACCTTGCTGTTACGCAGTCATTGACCGGTCTCAAAGAAAGCAAATCAAATTCTTTGAATACTCCAATGTTATAGTGGTCTTTATTGCACATTTACGAGGATGCTCTTGGGTGTTGTTATTTTTCTTTTGATTTTTTTTTTATATATTTTTAATCCTTTTTTCTCTTCTGTTTTCCTTTCGACAACACGATAACATTTTTGAAGAAGACGTGAAAACAGGATCTCCTGCTCATAATTAGCGTCCTAAAACTCGTTTTCAACTTTGTCCGAAATTATTACTTTGTATATTATTACTTCTCTTCCAACAATATGACGGCATAGTTTTTCGTAGAGTCAACATTTTTCTAAATTTCTTTCTATTGGGGAATAAGAAAAATATAATATGAGAAAAAATCTTTCTTGAATTCTTCCCTCGTTTAATCGTAAAAGAACTGGTTGGTGTTTCGATTATTTCTTTGTTATTTCGATAGCAATGAATTTGATCTTTTAGTCTCGTTTGCTTCGAATAAGAATTTGTTTGTTATTGTCTCGAGAGATAAATAGATTTTTAATTTATTATAAATTTTGTGTGAAAATAATCTCGTTTTAAACGTTTCAAATGTCGCGCCTACAAAATTTCGTATCCTCGTGTGCGTATCGAATTTATCAAGAAATTCTTTTTATTCCCTTTTTTTTTTTCTTTTTACCTTCTCATTTTTTCGTTCTCATTTTTCTTGTCACTTTACACGTTGATACCAGGAGATAATTTCGACCCATAATGTTGTTCAATTTATCCGCGAAGGTCGACTAGCTTCAAGGTTTTACTTTTAACCAATCCATTCATTTTACTTTTTTTGTTTGTTTTTTTTATTGCACTTTCGTTCCTTTCCGATCGTTAAAATTTGTTTCTCGTCTTTTCATTAAATAAATTTTCAAAATCTTTCGAATTCGATAACAAATCACAGCTCCTTTTTACAAATTATTATGTACGAAGATTAAGAGAGGTCAAAGATTGGCTTGGGTAGAAAAAAAAGAAAAGAAAAATGAAAGAAGGGGAGTGTGATATCTCAAATTTCATTAATATTTTGAAATAAATCAGATCGGATTACGCTTTCCAACATACGAGACACGTATTTGCATTCGACGTGTTAATTTATTTCTGTAACCCAATTAAATGTGTAATATTTTTTGCTTTTATTTCTTTTTTTTTTTTACTCGCGTCAAACTATCTTAGACTTTTATCTTCGAACGCGTTTGCTCCGATTTCTCTATTTTCTTTTTTTTTTTTTTTTTCTTTTTTCTTTTTCATAACAATTTTTATCATACGAACTGTGATTAATTGTCATTGATAATCCTCGTAAATCTCTTACAACACATATTAGTCAAAAATTTGTAATATAATAATATTTTATATTTCGCGTATATTTGAACGTAAAATCATATAAAAAATGGATTTCTAACGAGTACAAAGATCATAGAAAGGGAGTTTTGCGAAATTTTAATAAGGATTAGCCAATGAATAACAAAATTGTATGTCGTGTCATGCATTATATCTTTTTAGTTCCAATTGGCACAACAAATGGTATACCTTGTCTTTTTCTAAACATCTTTACGCAACTTTTCAATGCGTGCTACCATTCAAGGCCATTGATCTGCAATTTATTCATGGATACTCTTTTCAATCGAAATTAGAGACTAGTTTAAAGTCGACACGGTATTAAACAAAATTCTATTTTAATTTTTCACTTTGGTTTCTAGATCCTCTCTAACTCCCCACCCCCCTCACACCCTCTCACCTTGTTTTCTAACACAATATGAGCATAGAAATTTCTAAATTTATCTCGTCTTAGATTGATCGAGCTAAGCACGCGTATGTGACATTGATTGGCTCATTCGTAAATCGTGAAAAAGATTTTTAATGGATACGTTAATGGTGTACACGAATAAAATCACCATAATGAATTTCTTATCTATTTCCAATTATAATAATAACGGAATCTTATTACCTCGAGAATAAATTATGGTAATATCATCGATCCAAACTATATAAATAATACAAATCTTATCTTGTCGCTTAAAAAAGTTTTTATTGATATTCCAATACCGATTGGTATAAATGAAATGATGAAATCACGAATTATCTCGAATCATAATGATTTTCCATGATTATTTATGAGTAAAAAAAATATTTCGTCAATATAATATTTGGTTAATATAATTAAATAAAATAATATATTTTCAAAAATGAATAAATTTATTTAAAGTTGCCAATATAAACGATCATTGTTACCAATTCAGATCACCAATAATAAATGAATTATAATCTGTACTAATAAAGTAAACGTTTGAATTAACTTATTAAAATGTTTTTTTCAGGTTCTGCGATGATTACAAGGCATCGATGTTCTCGTTTAATCCTTATTGGGTTACACTTCTTTCTCAATGTAAGTCAATTGTAAATGACTTGGTTGGAACAAAAACGATTTTTAAAATGATTTGGGTAGATTTATCGAGGTCTCTCGTATCATATAACGTTATTATTATTAAGAATTTTATTTTAAGATACCGGACATCTGTCATGTTCTCGGACATGGTCGACTTATGGATCCTCCAGCACGTAACAGTATGTGGCGATTTGGATTTCCAAATCCAGTGAATTACAACGACAACGAGTTGTTTTGTGGCGGTTACGCAGGTAAGTTTTCTTCTCTCTTTTTCTTCTTATTTTTTTATAAAGATAATGATTCCCTTTCACCCATAATAAATGAGTTCTTTCATAAGATGGATGACAGTCGATTAAGGAGAAAGAATTTCGATCTCAAAGGGAATGAAATTTAAGGCTTGTCGTTCGGTTTTAAATTCACTGTGAGTAGTTTTTAAAGATCCGACAAACAGATTAAGTTCCAAAATTTAACTGACTTGAAACAATTCTCCGTGCTCGCGTCTGTGTTTACGTGTGTGATCGATATTGGTGAAATTCATTTTGAATGATGATTTATCGAAAATTTTACAAAATATATAATTGTCATTTAATATTAAATGATAATAATCAATTGATATTTAAAACAAATTCTTTTTTTTTTGTTTCGTAATAATTAATTAAACAAAAAGGATGGGGAAAATAGAAATTAATTAAATAAAAATATTACATTAGGTGGAAAATATATTTGAAATATTTTCTAAACAAAAATATTAAATATTAATAATATTTTGAAATTTAGTTCAGTGGGTACAAAATAAAGGTCAATGTGGGGTATGTGGTGATGCATATCATTTGAGCGAGCCGAGACCACACGAAGCGGGTGGTGAATTTGCGAAAGGAACTATAGTTAGACATTACACGGTCGGCCAGGTAATTTCTAAACTTTACTATCAATGCGAATAATCATATATTAAATACTCTTAAGTATAAATAATCCTCTATAGGAAATCGATATCGAAATAGAATTAACAGCCAATCACATGGGAGGATTTGAATTGTATCTTTGTCCAAACAATAATCCAAGAAGCGAAGCAACTCAGGAATGTTTCGACAGGTAAAATTTGAATGAACGTTATTGTAATAAATTTGAATAATTTGATTTGACTTTTATTTGCGTAGATTTCCTCTTTACCTGTCAGGTACGCGGGACGTACGTTTTGAAATTCCATTGGATTCAGAAAAAAAAGGCATTTTTCGTTACAGTGTAATGTTACCACCTTACGTCACTTGCAGTCAATGTGTAATCCAATGGAGTTATTATACAGGTTTTTTATTTATTCATTTTTACCTTATTTATATTAACTTTTTGAAGTATCGTAAAGCTGAAAGTGTCTCATCTTTTTTTTTTTAAACGGACATAATTACATTTTTCGTACCACCTTGACATATAAAAATCATTATCACAGCACATCCCATAATTACGAGAGGATGAATTTTTAAAAATTAACTTCGTATGAATGAGTCAAACCATGTAGGGGTCGTACCCATAAAAACAAATTTACTTTGCTAAATATTCACATTTGCATTTTATATTAAATTGCTTTATAAAGAGTTAATACTCTAAATAATATTGAATAATTTAACTTATTTTATAGGTAACATGTGGGGTACTTGTGACAATGGTACAGAAGGAGTAGGATGTGGTAGACCGGAAACATTTAGAAATTGTGCAGACGTTAGCATTGTGACAAGTACAGCAGGAGTTCCGCCATCCTTCGTGCAAAATGATAATCCTTTCTTATTATATTACAGAGATATTACATCTCCAAATAATATATTCCCATTGATAGTAAGGTACGATATTGAACACGCACATTCACAAAAATGAAGTCATTCAAATAATATTATTGAATGTGCAATCTTATCATGCTAAAAAATAAATATTTGTTGCTTCTCGTAGATCTCAAGTTTGCGTGCCGACGTATCTTTATCGTCGTATACCTGGAATGAATGATTGGTGTCAAGCAAACTGTCTTCGTTATCCACCAAATTGTCCTAACTCAATTTGCCATTGTCCGTGAGTATAAACGTTCACATAAATGAAATATTGAAAATGTATAAATACAAAAATTCGACTAATTTTGTTTTTTCTTTTTTTTTTGTTAATTTTTAGTGAAGTTTGCGATGCGATAGGTGAACTCGAAGGTAGAGAAGGTGCGAGTGTTTATTGTATGGACAAGTGTTTAGTGTATCCACTTGATTGTCCAAGCCATCGTTGTCGTTGTTATTAACGAGAATAATAACAACAACAAAAAAAAAAGGAATAAAAAAATGATTTATCGATCTTCCATGACAGTGTCTAGCTGCCTTTTCGAAACGATCAAATATTTGTTGACAGGTAAAAGGCAAACGAATGATTATTGTAATACTCAACTAATTAACATATTAGACTCTTGATTCTAGTTATCTTTCATATCGCTTCACGCAGTCCGTGTGTGTGTTTGTCTTTTTTTTATATATATATATATATATATATGTTTTTTTTTTAATTTTTTTTTATCAAACAAAGAGAGAGTCTCGTATCGACTGTTGTTTTTTATACGTAGAAATGTTAATTAGATAAGTAAACTCTTGAAATCGCAGATGAGAGGAATCTAAAGGATTTCAAATAACAAAATTAAAAAATACTCTGCGATGGTTCCTACCATTGTATATTAGAAGATAATAAAAATGATTGCTGTATCATTCTTCTTCCTTTCTTTGTTTTTTGTTTCCCTATATTGGAAATATTGAAATGTAAATTAACCCTTTTGTTACTAGCGACTGAAATACAGGTCATCAGTACAATTACCGACCCACATAAAGATCGTATAACATACGAAAAGGTTAATAAATAAATAAATTAATAAATCAATCAATCAATATCTATATAGTAGGAATATCTAATCTTGTTTATAGGAAATGTAAGGGTCTTGATTAAATGTAATCTACATATGTGTATATATATAAATTAAAAAAAAAGATAAAATCCGTTTTTCTTCTCGATCGATATAATGGCACTATAATATTTTTAATATTAGGACATTGTTCTATTGACAGCTTAAAATATTACGCATATATCACATATTAATATGTTATATGTTAACGATTAAACGTATTCTGCGTTCTTATACATAATATACAATATGCAACTATGTTTAACGAAACGATTGATTAGTTTTATTTTTGTTTAAAATCATCGCGTTATTATTGAAATAATGAACGCTATAACACCGTATGGGCGCGAAGTTTTCTTCAGGGTCTTTCGTCGTCGTATCGTAATTGTCCTTTCAATTAATTTTTCGTTTAATCTCTCGTCTTCTTTTTAATAATTTTTCTTTTTTCCTTTTTTTTTCTTTCTTCTTCGGTGGCATCGTACACACGCAGCAGGACACACGCGTAAGTAATTATAATACTTACGTTAAATTGCAATGATTCAATCGGAATTGTTCGGATCTGTTTGTTTAAGAGATCGCTAGTTGTTCAATTTTTAATTTAATTTTCTTTCTTGGTTTTGTTTTTTTTTTTTTTTGTTCAATGGGATTTTCTTTTCTCTCTTTTCGTTAACACCTTTAAAAAACTATATACACTAAAGCTTTTTATCGTCTATAACGTTATTATCGACTAACTAGTAACATTTTTTGTTTCCTTCTCCGTTTCTTCTTTTTTTCCTTTTCTTTTTTTTTTTTTTTTTATTTCTTTTACTTTTACGAATTTTTTATCGTCACTTACACGTCGTAATAAGTCATCGCCCAAAAAGTGTGTGTACGTGTGTTTGTGTGTGTATATATAATAATAACATTAAACGCATTCTCGAAATTACAAATCATACCAGAGACGCACTTGGCAACTACCGTGACATTTGTAAAATTATAATATGCCCCCAGTAATTGTGACAGTGGACCAAGTTAAAAGATGCGTACAAAAATTTATTTTGTAATACAAGTAATTTTAATATGAAATAAATCATAAAATGTATTTTTTCCTTTTCGTTTGTTTGTTTTTTTCGACACAGTTCACTGTCATATTTACCGACGCATATAAAAATCTCTTATTTTTTGTGTTTCTTTCTCGTTTCTTTTCCTTCAATCTTTTTATTTACTAAAATTACTAATCGACTACCTCCAACGTTCGTAAACAAATCGTTTACTACATCATCGATTGTTCTTGAACAATTCGAACGAAAAAATGCTTCGTTCAAAATTGAAAAATAGAAACGAAAGTGCGCCCATTTATGAAATATCGAATCCTTGATAATTACGAGTCGTTCTCCTCCAATTACAAACTAACGCGGTATTGTTTTTATTTTTATCGATATAATAAAACGTTCTCACAATTGTTTTTAGTTCGGACAAGATATTAGAAATGTTTACAAGCTCGACAATGCTGTTTTAAACAGCCCAAAAATACGAGGCTCGGATCAATGATGATTTCAAAGTAAATTCGACAATTTACTATAGTCAATATTTGCATTGTTTTTTTGTTTTTTTTTTTTGTGTTTTTCGATATCTTTCCTTGACAACTCTTTAAACAACATTCGAAACAAATTAAATCTTCGTATTCTCGTATAATCGGATTTGCAATAAATGGTTGCTTTAACGATTTTTCAAGCTAACGCGATACTTCAAATATTTCTAATATCCTTTTTGCATCGCATAAATTTCTTGTTCGTCTCGGATGTTTCAGTTTTATTTTAATAATAATAATAATAATAATAATAGTAATAATAATAATAGTCATTTCCTTCTTTCTCATTGAGGAATCCAAAAAATCAAAAGTTTTGCTTACAATGCATCGAAATTATTTGACATGAAATTAATTGATTTAGAAAAAAAATGTAGCGAATTAATTCAGGGGTACCCTCAAAAACTTATCGGTCCTCGAAATCGTGCATTTTAGTACTCTTTTTACTCCCTCTTTCGATCATTATATTATCTTTGCTAGTTTATTTTTCGTTTACAAAAAACTTTGCAAGCAACATTAAAGTCTAAGAAAAAAAAAAAAAGAAAAAACTGGAAACTGAGATGATCGAATTTGATTTCTATTTGATTACAATAAATAATCGATTTATTTGAACATAATCAATGAAAGATTAAGCTATTTCCTTTTTTGAATATTTTCTTATTCAAAAGATTAATCGTTCGTAGATTAAATAATAGAGGCCTTTTGCGTTTGAATTTTCAGCTTTCACTCGATTTGTCAGGTACGTTTTCAGTCTTCCGATAATAGGTGAACGTGCTTCTCGATTCTTTTCTTGTCAAATCGTAGAATACCGTTTTTTTTGTGCTGTTTTTCTTAAATACGACAGTTCCCTTTGTTAAGTGTACCGTTTACACGTATTTATTTCGGACTTTGTTTTCTCAAATGTTCTAATTAATTCGATATCATTAAATTTCAATGAAGATTCTAAAGAAAAATATTCTTTAATAACATATATATATATATATATTTATTTTTAGTTAAAATCTACTTAAAAAAACCATTGATTAGAATCATTAAAGAGAATTCGTAAAAATTATTATTAATGAACCAATGAAAAAGTAAATGTGTGCGTGTAAGCGTCCACGAATTCTAACGAATTTTTCGTTCTTCGGTACTTTGATTTAAAAATGATCAAACTGATTCAATATTTTGTATTTTTACTGATCAATAAAAAATTGAAGCTTTTTCTAATCTTTTATTAACTATTAATGTAGAATTTTCAAAATATCACTCCGATCAATCTCATCAAAGTTACCGGATAGTCTTCTCGTCACTGTCGTTGATTTTTGAGTTTCATTTGTACTGTTGTTAATGCTTTTTTTTCATCGACGAAAAAGCTACGATAACCCCCGTTACAATGTGTGGATTTATCGAAGAGTTTTATTAACGGGTCAATTATATACGTTTTAATTCGATCTAACCTAAATTTGTTTAATAAATCGTAAAGATTATAAAAAAGAATATACGATTAGATAATGTATATTATTCAATTATTTCTTCTTTTTTTTTTTTTCTGATCAATAACTCAACAAAGAACCAAGTCTTTTCACGGTTCGGATACAATTTATTTCCCTATTACAAGAAAATAGTAACTATAGTCGTAATTTAATTAGAATAGTACTTGAACGATCGACTTTTCTATCGTATATAATTATTATTATTATTATTATTTTTCATTTTTTTTCTCTTTAAATTTCATAATTAATAATAATAATAATAATAATAATAATAATAATAATAATAATCATTATCATCAACATTTCATTACAATCAATTATAATCAATAATAATAATAATAATAATAATGATAATAATACTTTTATCAGAACGTATAACAGTGTTCGTGTTTGCACGTATCGTTCATTGAGATCATGTCGTCGACAATTAGTATATCGTTAAGTTTCTCATCCTTTGACACATTCGTTTTGTCAAACGAACAAATTCTTTTTCTCACATTTTTCAACACTTTAATCGTGTTTTCAAATAAAACCTAACCAACGGACACTTTTTGGCGCGATAAATGACGATAACGGGACACGAAATCTCTTGACCTTGAGCGTACCCCCAATTATAATGGTATCATAATAATTTTTTTTTTTTTTGTATTTTATTTAAACGATATCTTTTTGTTTTTTTTGGCTTTAAATGAATATATTATCATTTATGTATACATGCTAGAGATCGTTATTATAGATCATAGGTGAAACAACGCAACAGTGCAATCGTAATACTTATTTACAGAAAATTGTTGTCGCTATTGAAATTAAAATATATATATATATATATATATATTTTTAATTTTTTAATTCTTTCACATTCTTTCTTTCATTTAATCGAACGTATCGAAAAATCCTTCGTATGGTGGTCAAACTTTTACAATTAAAACACACTGTTCGTTTTCTAATCATACCTAATCATATTTATTTTTCATAATCATTATTCGTCGGATAATTTTTAATATCATTTACGGTACGATATCGGCAATGTTTTAACACACCCAATAATTCTATGTAATCTCCCAAAAAAAACTTCTATTACGTTCTCGGTTTTTTTTTTTCTTTATAACGTTTGATAAGTATGTATATTAGATTATTATAATAATCACTTCTTAATGAGAGTTTAACTTGTATTAATTGTTGTTGTTGTTATTATAATTATTATTATTATTATTATTATTATTTTTATTTAATTTTATTTTATTTTATTTAGTATAATTTATTTTATGTTTTCTTTCTTCTCCTTCCTCTCTTCCTCCTCTTCTTCATCTTCTTCTTCTTATTTTTCATCATCATCGTTACATTTGTGTGTATTGTGTGTGTGTATGTGTATTCTTGTTGGTTATCTCATCTTATCGCCGATTATATTATCTATAGTAAGAATTATTACGAGACTTAAACTTGACTCTTTGCGAATTAACAATACGGTTGTTTTTTTTTTATGTTTTTAAATTTTCTTTTACTTTTATGTTATTTTAATTCATAATTATATCTCAAATCTCGTATTATAATAGATCTCGAGTGCATGTACCATCGATTATTATCCATAAAAATGATCCAACAAACCTGGATTTTGTTGTTGCTTTTGTGCTCACATACTTATTCCTTTTTTACTAACATCGAATCATTAACATTCTTCGTCATTTCATTCTACGATACTTTGCCAATAAACGATCCAATTAAAAGATTGATTTTTACGAAAAATAAAAACGAAGTATTATTGGTCTCATCGATCGTAAAATAAAAAAAAAAAAAATAAAAAAGAAAAATTAATATTAAATATTTTTAAACAAATTTATTATATATCGATCTCGTTGATCGCGAACAAAAATTTCTTTTATAAAATCAATTTATTATTTTTAAATGTACAGCAGCTTGACTATTTTCGTTCTACTGCACTTTTCGTTCCTTTTTTTGTTATCTCGACACAGACATAACGTTTATAATTATTATTTAATTTATATATATATATATATAATATAAACTAATATATATATATATATATATTAGTATATATTTCGTTTTTCTTTTTTTTTTTTTTTAAAGAAATATACAACATACGATAAAACGAAACATCAAATAGTTACATTTAAATAGGCTTTGTTTTTACTTCGATTCACAGTTACGAGAAAAATAGAGAGAAATATATAGAAAGTGTATTATTACATATATGTTTACATGTTATACAACATGTATATATAAATAAATAAAGTCTATAGACATATATATGCGTGTGTATGTGTGTGTGTGTGTGTGTGCGCGCGTGTGCGTGTGTTTATGTTTGTTTAACGCGTGCCATACGATTAAGTTTAAATAATTTAAATCTAATCTCTCGCAGACTCCTGGCTCTGGGGCAGTTTCAGTTCCAGCAGTCATGCGATTTTAAGCGATTTATCTGCCTGACGTAGACAATTATTATTCTAAGTTCAATCATTCCAAGTTATTACACGTTAGAGACCGTGTTAACTCATTTAGGCTCTAAATTATTCAAGCAAATCATCCATTCCTTCTTAAAGACAATTCAAACAAATTCTCTCTTTCTTTTTTTTTTTTTTTGTAATTAGAATAGTAATATTTGCGTTAGATTATCTTCTTCGTTCGATCTTTCTTTTTTTTTGGGGGTGGCTTTTTCTTATATATTGTTTTTCTATTTTTTTTTCTTTTAATTATTATTTTTTTTGTTGTAAATTATTTTTTAGATCGAATATTCGTAACACTAACAAGTAGACGAATCATTTACGCGTTCGTTAATATTTAATTAGACGTTTAATTAATTAGCGGGAAAAAACGATTAAGCGACAATATCAAGGTGGGCTTTAAGAGCGCGCAACAGTTTTCATTAAATATTTTATTCTAACGACGAATTATTAGAGAGACGTTCATGCTTACGTTGTTAGCCTCTTTTTTTTTTTTATTTAAAGCGATATATTATAGTCGATTTATGTTAATCAATTTCTTTTTATTATTATTATTATTTTAACAACAAAGTAGGAACAAATGTTATAGGAATAATTACACAAGAAATAATTATGTTTATTTGAAATATTATATTTTAGTAAATTATTAATATTTAATTTGATACTTAAATTAATATTCCATCGAAGTTGAGATTAATTTTAATCTTATTAAAATCACACATACGAATTATTGAATTAACAATTATTATTGATAATTATTAAGGTGGTCTTTGCGTGCGGTCAAGGGGCTCATTGTTGACGAGCATCCAAAGGCCACGCTTATGGTTGTTACAAATAAAAAATCAAATTTAACGTATAAATTCAAGCAAGACTCTCGATAATTTTGTTCTCGAATATAATTTATCGCTTTATTCGATGCTTAACGAACGATATCATAGAAATTATTTTCGATTAATATTTTTCTTATTTTTTTTTGTGTTATTTTTTATTCGACACAGAGACATTTTGCATTACGCACCACTACTGCATATTATTCGTAGCCTAAATGCATATTCTAATACGCTTTATGTGACAACAACTTCTCGTTTATTTCATATAATCGTCATTAATTATAAATAGAAAATATATGGAAATTAATTATAATACCTCGACTTATTTTAAAAAGAGAAAAACAAAATGGCTGTAATGGCTCAGTCGGTAATCGTATCGATAAATCAAAATGTTAGGCCATATATCAATTTGCACATTAATTTGTTTTAATTTAGAAAGAATATTATTAATTTATCAACGATCGTTTATAGTAATCATATTTCTATTCGTAGATCGAACGTATTCGAACGTTTATTCGAACCTTAAAACTCAAATACAACAATTCGAAGATCACGCAAATCTATTTTATCGATGGTGCATGGATCATCAAATCTGTTTGACCGATATCTAAACATTTTTCTTGATCATTCGATAACTTGTTTTAATGACACATCTTATCGAATATTCGAAGTAACCATACGAGAAAGTTCATGCACTCGAGATCAGCGAAGTGAAGAAAATTGTTAATCGGATTTACGAATGTGTGTTTTTTAAAGTGTAAAATGCAAATATCAGAGCGCTTTTAACGCTAAGTTACAAATAACCTAATGTCGCATACGTTTTTACATAGGTTGTATCCACTCTACAGTTCTCCCTGAAACAGACGGTTAACCTTAGTACAAAACAACATTCTTTTTATACACAATCCTGATTACATTCGTGGAAACGATGATAGAAGTTCAACCAGCTCGGTGATTTTTACCGACAACGACAATAATATATCGAACAAAATAAAAAATAACAAATAAACAACGAATAAAAATGAAATAAAAAAAAAGAAAACGTATAGATAAAAAATTAAACGTAAAAAAAAGAAAAATAAAGAAAAAAAGAACAAAAGAAACAAAAAACGAGAAAAATAAAATAGAGAACAGTGAATAGAAATCGTCCTACCTTCAACTATAACGCGTCTCGTCTTCCATTTCAGTCTTCGATTCTACGCCTCTACGAGAAATTATACCTACAAAGGGGTGCAGAAAAAATGCGAGAACACAAAAAAAAGAGAGAGAAAGAGAGAGACAGAGAGACAGACAGAGAAAGAGAAATAGAGATATCAGAAGCATATGTCTGCTAGGTGAGAAGGGTAAAGAAGGAAGTATGTATTTGTTAACGTAAAAAAAACAATGTCTTCGTCATACTTGTTCAATATGACCGGATAATAGGATAGAAATGGAATTTGTTTTGGTAAAAGAAAGCAAGAAAGGTATAGAGAGTTAAGGTTTGTGTTTTTGTTTTACTTACTCGTCCTCCCACGGGCACACTTCGTTAACATTATTGTCACGCTTATCCCGAGTGGGCACAGTACTGGTGGTTGTAGCGGTGGTAGTTGGTGCCGTTTGGTCTTCCTGTTGGGTGTCCGGCTCCCAAACAGGAACAACCTGAGCTTCCTCAGTGGGCTCATCCTTTTGTATTTCGGCACCAACTTCCTTGGTTACTTTTTCAACATCATCCTTTTCCAACAACACTTCTTCTCCTTCTCTTTCTACTTCTCCTCCTCCTCTTTCTTCTTCTTCTTCTTCTTCTTCTTTATCTTTTTCCTTTTCCGTTTCCCTTTCTTCCTCCTTCTCCGTTTCTTTTTGTTTGTCCTTTTCCTTTCTCTCTTTCTCTTCCTCCAATTCAATTTCCATTAAAGTTTCTTTGGATGGCGTACAAACATCGCCAATCGTTGTTCCAACACCCTCGGAATCACTTGGCAAGTCGCCGACGATCGCACTGATACTTATCAACGGTGCTTTCGCTGATAACCTTCTCGTACCTTTTTTTGTTTCCTCTATCGTTACAACTTTGTCCATTTGTTGCGTTGTTTCTAACGATGTAGTAGTCGTCGTTGTCGTTATAATTAATGTTTCTGGTTCCTCGATCGTTGCCTCGGATATTATCGTCTCGAACTTCTCACCAGCTGCGTGGCTATACTCGAAGGATTCCCGAGGCGATGGTAAGTTGCATGACGTGGCCAATGGCCGACCTGTTGTTATCAAAAATATGTGTCTATAAACTCTACTGATTCGTTATTTTACGTAAAATAGTTGGAATTATTTACTATGGAAAATAACACAATTGGTACACGAACTGAACAAATTTTTCATGACACACAACTCAGTTACAGAAGGTTAATTATGTACTAGGATTTATATTTTTTTAAATGATGATTTTTCTTTTTAATCAAAAGACAATTACTTGAGTCCTTAATTATAACTAGGTCTAGTAATAATTAATGTTGTTTTTTAGTATTCGTTTAAAATGTGAAGTGTAATTAACAAGCCTTGCTGCAAAAAGTTTGTGTTTGAATTGTTTTATTTTGCGAAATTAGGGTCGAAAAGATGGCAGATGAAAAGCATATTCGGCATTGCATGCTTTACGAGTTCCAGTTGGGAAGAAAAAACAAATGAGGCTGCAAAAAATATCTGTAGTGTTCTTGGTCAAGATGCTGTGTTGGCGTCAGAAAATGGTAGCGTTGGTTTTAAGAAATTTCGAGAGAGAAATGTTTCGTTGAAAGACGAAAGTGGTCGAGACCGTGTGTCTAATTTTGATCAGGAAGCACTTCAAGCTCGTTTGTTTAAAAATTCTTAAATAACGCAACAAGAGCTTTAAGTTATTCGCAAAAAACTATTTGCAATCAATTGCATTCACTTGGTAAGATCCAAAAGTTTGGAAAAAGACGACATTAATTATTACTAGACCCTAATATATTGATTAAAACTAAAAATCCATGAAAAAATGGAATTAGAAAAATACACATTAAGATTTACCAATGTCCGAGAGTTTGACTCTGTTGCTAGTTGAACCAGTTGAATAATTTCTGGTGATGGTATGTCCACTCGGTCCAGAACCGATACCATGCCGTTCCATCCTGGCACTTGGGACAGCACTGTGCTGAAGACTGCAGGACTTTCTCAACCTGTCCGAGACTTCGGCTATAGCAAGACTGACATCGGAAGAGGAACTGCATGAATCCAATTGTGAAGAATTCTTTCGAGATGGTCGAGCCACGTCGATAAAATGTATGGACGTTTTGGTAACGTCGTTCCCGTATTCCCAGGATTCCTGGGTCGTGTCAGGCCACGGGCTCGTTCCAAACGATGCCGCATCCGGCCCGGCTTCTGTACTTGGCCCTGGGATCGCGTCCCAAGGGCAAACGTCGTCCATAGGGCGAACCGTCGCCTCCGTGGCGCCAGCATCCCTGACAACACGAACTTTATTACATATGCTTTAGTCTCCACTTTTTATCTCGCCAACAATACCACGCGATTGTTCTCTTTTTTCTTTTGTGTATTTTACTTTTTCTCGTCTTTCACGTTTCTCTTCAATCTGACAAAGCAAACACATTTTCTTTATATTTTAATAATTATTGCACGTAGGGTAAACAATTATCAACCAATTTGTAATAATCAATCATAGTCTTTTTTAAGCTTATAATATATTTGCGTTTTAATGTATATATGCCAATTAATGTATTGGGCTGTAACATATACTTGGGTGGGTTGAAAATTGTTAAGTTTAACAATTTGTTCTTTTTTTTAGGTCAAATTTTTATTTTTATTTTTCAACATAGGCGCAAAACTTTTCAATCCATTCTCGTATTCGTTCCAATTTTGTTTATCCAGAGTAGCGCACTAATGTGTGTTTTTGTTTTTGTCAAATATGTTACAACCCAATAAAAAAATATATATGATTGATTTCGAAGAAACAACCAATAATTCTATCGTTTACCCTACCAATTCATATATGTATTTACATACGCGCGGCTTCGTAAAATCGGCGAAAATTTGGAATTGTTTGAAGTTGTTCGGAAAGTTACGTCGTTTTTTCAATAATTTAATAAAAGACGATTTCTTCGTAGTCAGAATTCGAAACTTAATGATTGTAAATCAGTTGAATCTGATACATACAATTTATCAGTTGTTTTTTGCGTTGTTATACAACAATTAGCATCCAACTAATGCTTTTATTATGACCTCATGTTCAATTAGACCACTTATTCGCAGTGAACCTTAAAAAGCTCAAATTGCCAGAATAAAAATTTGGAAAAGTAATTTTGACTATATCGTTCACTGACATGAACAAATCATCTTCGAAAACGGTACATAATTTTGTTCTCAAATGACAACAAATGTTGACTGATTTTCCATATTCGATGACATGTCAAAAAACCAAACTACTGGACAAATCGAAACGCAATTATATTTCTAAACCATGTCTGTTGCTAGATCGCAAAGTGATTTTTGAGGTTTAGAGTAACATCTGATATCGATAAATACGAGTTGATAAAATTTCGGTTACATAAAAACGAAATTACTTTCCGAACAACCCTAATTTATACTATTTACATTTATGTACACATTTATTATATAGAAAAGAGAATAAAATTTGAAAAAGGATCGATTCATAGATTCGATGAGTTTTTAATTGAAAATAGAAGGTATTCTTGTTTCGTTGGAAGAAGAAATTAGGGGATGGATGGAATGGTCGGTAGGAATAATTTGTTAACGTTTAAAAAAGTACAACGAAAGATATTCAGATCAAAAAGTGAATCCACGTTACGTGCTTGTTCTCACACAATGCATACACAAATAATTTATATTATTATTTGTAGAGAATATTTCGATTTATAACAATGGCGAATATAATTCATTAAACAATAATTGTTTTGCTTGCCAATTTATCGAAATATGCTATACATACACATATATGTATATACATATATTATTTATAGAAAGATAGAGAAAGAGAAAGAGAGAGAGAGAGAGAGAGAGAAAGAGAGAGAGAGAGAAAAAGAGATAGAGAGAGAAAGAGAGAGACGCGTGCAGTTACTCGTGCAAATATCTGCATTCATTGTAAATTATCGATTAGTAATCGAACACACATAAACGTATTTTTATTATTATCTCGATGACACTCTCGAGATAACACGAGAAAAATGTATAAGTTTTCTTATCAAATTCCTTATCAAAGATTTTTTCTTTTTATATTTTTTTTATTTGAATGACAGATATTTTTGTTCTTTCATTACGAGTAACCTAGCTGTTTCTTTTTTTCTTGTTTTTGTTTTTTCTGTTTCGTTCAAATAGTGTACCGACGAAATCCAGTGGGGAGAGCAATAAACAAAGATACATAATAAATATAATAATATATACACATAATATTAATTGAAAAAAGAAGAAGCTTGCCACAACAGACACCAAATATCGAATAACCGAATACAACTAACATAAATACCCACAAATTTATGTTACAGAGAGAAGTATAAGAAAAAATATTCTTAAAACACAATGATAAATCATTTCATTCTGTTTTTTTTCTTGTTGTTGTTTTGTTTATAAGGAGACATTCACGTTGAGCTTCATACTGTTTCCAGGGATTTTACGCAACATTTTGTTTATTTTTTGAGTTCACACAACATACACGCAAACGACATTTTAGAGAAGTGCGAAGATATTAATTAGATGTAAAAAAACAAAAAAAAGAAAAAAAACCAAAACACACATTTAGGAGCATAATCGAAATAATGTAATACAATGCTAGATTATTAGCATAGAAATTATTGATCTTTTATAAATAATAATTTGTGTATAAAATTCTAGTTTTTTTTTTTTTGTTTTGTTTTTTTTTTTCCATTACGATTAATTTTGTCTTTCTTTTTTGTTGAAAAAAAAAGTTTTGCACAATTAGAGAGAAAAAATATCTAGGAGATAATTAAGTCGTAAAAAAACAGGTCGTGAATGAAAAAAAAGGCAACGACGTGACAAAATGGAGATTGGTTTCGCACGTATGCGTTATGGGGACTTACTGAATACTATGTGGACTAGGCCTCGTAGGGATCTTTAGGAGTCGCGCCAGATCACCCCTGAAAATACCGTACCGATAAAAGCTATCCTATGTTCTTTTTCCTTGTGACTGCTCAACAATGACGCACTTCCAACGCGATTACCGAGATTATTTCGAACGAGTTTCTAGCCTCCTATTTACGATACATATCGTCAGAAGAAAGAAGAACGCGTAACTTTACCGAACTATGGTTTAGCCAATGTTCAAGGATTTTGAAAGGGTACTGTGAAATGGCTCAACGTATTATGATACGAAATATAAAGAAAGAAAAAAAAAACATTAACTATCGAAAAAGATTACTTTTCTTGAATTTCCATATAATTAATATCATTCTTTATTACTAGGACTAACCGAAAATTTATTTTTACATTCTTGTTAGATTTTTAACCATTTCGTTACGGCATGTTTTGGCTCGAATATCATTCCATATACAAAATTCCGACCCCTCTGTTGTTGATCGGTAGTAACGAAAAGGTTGATTAAAATTACACACATTTTGTACCGATTTACAAAGTTAGTCCCAGCGTTGAAAAAAAAAGAACCCAACGAGACAAAAAATTAGGAATAATAATAATAATAATAATAATAATTAAAAAAAATAAATAAAAAGGCGAGCGATTCGTGTATTTCAATGGACACGAAGACAATTGTTGTTTTGTTCAATAATTAGATTTAAAAGGATATGCTATGACGTGTTTGGACAAAAAAAAAACTAAAAGTCGTCATACGAACGTGTCCGCCGTACCTGTATGGAATATCGGTGAGATTTGATTGGCTATGAGAATGCGGGACTCTTGGCGTTGAACTTATTTCACGAACTCCACAAACGGCAAGTTCGTGAGCTGATCCCGAGAGGCTTCGATCGCTTCCTCTTCTTCTACCACCACCAGCACCACTACCACCACTACCAACACCACCAACACCACTACTAGCACTACCACCAGTACCACCTCCACTGCTTCCTAGATTGCCACCATGTTGTTGTTGTTGTTGTTGTTGTTGCAACGTGCTCGTCGTTGTACTCGCGCTAGACGCCATTTTCTTTTTTGCTTGGCCACCGAAGCTGAAGAATCTGTGAAAACAACGGTTCTCCAGTTTAGAAATACGCTCGTCGTATTTCTTACTTACAATCAACAAACTCGTCCAACCGAGTAAAGAAACTCTTACAATTGCTATTTCAATTTCTTGGCTTAAGGAAATAAGACGAGTAGAAAAAAAAGAAATGAAGGAAGAAGGAAGGAAGGAAGGGTAAAAATAATACAAAAAAAAGAGGATTGTACGTACCTTTTCTTTTGCAATGGCTGTATGCCGGCCGCTAAAAGATTTCGATATTGATCCGAGCGAATAAATCTGGGGTAACAATCCTTCTTCAGAAGTAAAGTATATACATGCTCGGCGGCTGAATCGAAGGTAAATCTGCTGGGATTTCTCATCTCTTGATGAACCTTCTCCATTGTCTTTCCATCGATGTTGATCTCGCAAGGAGCACCCGGAGCCAGGAATTCTCTGTTTTGTTACAAATATTAATACTTTTACAATGAAATTTCTATTTAATCGAATGATAACTCACACACACACAGATTTACGAATTACGTTACGTTGTGCTTATAAAATGACAACAAACTGTATTCCTTAATAATTATTCATATTTTTATTGTATATTACTGCTACACGTGATAAAACATTTTAATCATAAATTTTTGATAACTATACCTGAAAATTTCGTTAACCTTTTCCGGTATTTGAGCTTGGTAACTATGCCTCAAATCTTTAACAGCCAACCAAAAGCGAATATTTTCGTGACTGTATTCTTTCCTCAAATAATTCGTGAATTCGAGCAAGCCTAAGGGAAGGGAGAAGAAGAAGAAGAAAAACGTGATTGTTTAAATTCAAAATAAACAAACGATATTGTATATAAGAGAAAATAAATAGGATTACTATTATTATTATTATTATTATTATTATTATTATTATTATTATTATTATTATTGGGCAATGAAAAAAATTCATCACCTGTTGGATCAGACATGAGTTCTTCCATCGATAATTCCCATCGTTTGACACGCTTTTCCGTGGGGACTTCCACTCTGAACAAACACGTTGGAAAAGTACGATCGATTAATACGCGAGATAATCTCTTTACGCGTGATACATACTTCATGTTCATATAAATATTAGATAAACTATCAAATAATCTTTCTACTAACACTGGACTGTTCAATTGCCAGAATGTACTGTCATCTGTGATCCACGGATTCGAAGGTAGCGGATGTACGAACATCGGGTCGTATTCCACGTAAGTTTCAAAATATGACTTCAAATTTTCTATAGCAGCTGAAACCTTGATTCTCGTGCGTGTTAAACTGTTTTGAAGAAAGTCCACCTATTTAAGAGAAAACAATAAAACAAAAATCAAAGGAAACACGTTAACAAATATTAATGAAAGTGTCTTAGGGAAATTGGACAGTTTGACAAATTTTTGTAGAACGTTTGTTTTGATCTCATTGAACGTTTCGTCCCTTTATCGGGACTTATTCAGCAACTGAAAATTTGATTATGACTTTTGTTTTAAAAAATACATATTATAAACATTACAAGAAGGTTCTTTAATATTACCTTGATCATTAATGTTCTGAGTCTTTTTTATAAATTCTTCCGAAGACATACATTAAAAAAAAAAGTTCACCATACATCAAAAACAAAAGTTTCAACCATTAGCTTGGATAAAATCATTTGAAGGATTATTACCTCTCGTTGTAATTCAGCGACGGTTCGTTTACGTGGCGGAGGACGTGGAAGTCCTGGACGAAAACGTGTCGGTCCTGGAACTACTTCAAGACTGCTAAGACAACCAGGTGGTGGCCGGTAAACTCTCCAAAATGCTCTTTCCTGTGAATCGCTTACTATCTTATCCCCCTTCTTCCGGTCTTTAGCTAATCGTACCTGAGCCCACAAAGTTAGTACCATTTCAAGAAGTTAGATGTTTCTACATCAAATTTTCTACGCGATTTTTCACGCTAAACCTACCACGCCCCAGTTCAAATGACCACCAAGTCCTGTAATATGTTAAAATATGCGCTAATTTGTAAAGAAAAAAAAGAGAAAGTGCCCTGAAATGGCGTACTAAAGTGTATATTATTCATTTCTAAAATAAAGGAAAATATTTTCTTCATTATCTCCAATTGATTAAAATCTCACTTTATATTAAGATATATGTTGTTTTTTTTTGTTCTTTTTAACCGTCATTTAACCGCTTACAATAGAAATAAGAAGTACGCATGAAAAGTGTCGGTAGGTTTAGTGTTAAAATATACATTACACGTATCGATCGAAATATTTCCAGACATTACTAACAAATTCTTCGAATAAGAAAATATTGATCTTTAATAAAAACAAATGACTTGTATCAAATAGTTTAGATAACTCTCCGAAAAAGAATTTCGTAGAAATTTCAACAAAAATCATTTCATATATAAGTTTCAATCGAGGACTCGCATCGGTGATGTTGAAAGTGCACTTCGATCGATGCTCGAATAATACAAATTCTATTATACTTTCTCCGAGTAAAAGATATATCAAGGTTTTTGAAATATATCTTTTCAATGAAAAAGTAAAATAAGAACAAAATGAAAAGAGTTAAATCTTTTAAATGGAATAATTGAATTATTCACCTGTTCCTCAGCCTGTAGTTGTATAATATCCCATTTATTTTGCAGGTTCTTCCGTAGACTGTTTAATGCTTCCTATATAATGAGAAAGATAGAAAGAGAAAAGAGGAGAAAGAGAAGAAGATACGTAACAAAAAATATTCGATAAGGAAAAAAAAAAAAGAACAATAAAAAAGGGATACGATTGAATAAGTCAAATTTACGTACGATTTCGTAATCTTCAAGAGCGTGCCGTTGTTTGTTCCGTAATGTTCGTTTAGCCAAATAAATAGCGTATTCCACGTTGTCAGGATTTCTATGTTGCCATGGCCAATAATACGGTGACTGTGAGATAGTTGGGAAATAAAAAAAAAAATAAAAATAAAATAAATATAAAACACAAAACTTGTTAGATTGATTCAACACAGTAGCGGGTAACGTTTTATTTTTTATTTTTATTTTTTTTTTCAAAACTAAATTGATGCAATGCACCAGGCAATATTTAATTCTCTCTCTCTCTATATATATCTTTTCTTTTTTTTTTTAAAATACTACAAAATATTAAATTATTTCGAGGCACCGAGTAATATTTTTTTTACACATGTATTTTTTCTTCTTTTTTTCAAATATTAAATTTATTCAGGACGCTAAATATAATTTTCGTTTTAAATATTAAATTGATTTGAGGAATCAAAAAGTCATATTTTTTAAATGTTAAATTAATTCAAACCAACGTGTAATTTTTTTTTTTTTACTATACATTTCGTTTGAAAATATTAAATAGATTCAAGGTACCATAAGATAATATTTTCTTTTCTTCTCTCCATTCTTTTTATTCGTTTGATTATTTTCGATATGCAATTGTAATATGGGGGGAGGGAAAACAAAAATACCTGAAATCTATATAGCGAGCTATCATCCTTAACGGTAAGCGTCTTGGAGTCGTTCACCGGGAAGAAGTAACCATACTGGCATAGTTGATTAGCAATATGGAGCGCCTCTACTGTCAACATAACAATGCACTTTCATACCTGAGAAAATGATTTAGACTGGAATTGGTAGGTATGTCTCATAAATATTACAAAACTCGGCTAGTTACGTGCAACCCTTTATATAACGCGAAACGTTGCAACTACGCAGTGGACGTATATTTTTATAGAATCAAATTCTCATACCGTACTGGCAATCATTTTCAAAGCATACATCTAACATAAGAGGTGGAATTCATGCCGGCTGAAGTCTGTCTCGTCGACGAACTCTATTCATTTACGTTTTTTTTTCTCCGTTTTTGTATATGCGCTTTGGATGAAAAGAAGAAGAAGAAAAAAAAAAAAGAAAAAAAGAAGCAAGCAAGCAAGGAAGGAAAGAAGAGACGGAAAGGAGAAATAGAAATGAGCTTTGCAAGGGTTTCCATTTATCAGAACATATTAAGTTCACGTTGAAGAGATTTCCGTAAGCAAAAGAAAAAAAAAAAAAAAAAGAACGAAACTTCAACGAAATAATCAAATGCAATAGAACGAAAATAACTGAAAATAATTTGGTGTCGTTCGTTTGGAAAATAAAAATTTTTCCAGATAAAAAATACAAAGAGTTGCGTGCAAGTTGATATAAAAAATCCCATATTAAAATAAAAGGAAAATAATCGTGACGATGATGATAATAATAATAATCATAATAAATATGTTTAATGGAATATAGAGGTTCGAAGTTTTAATTAGCATTTGGAACACGCGCGTGAGCCGCAGAACACCCCTTTTTTTTCGAGACGTCAGGATAATCTGCATAGACATCCATTAGAACGGTCCATAGACATTCGTACCTGATTCCTCGATGGAAAGCCGATCCATAAGCCACTCGACGAGGTCGTAACCTGCAACACGCAGGCAGTCTACTGTACTCTCCTGGCCGTGATGGCCGCTTACGTTTATGCCACAACGCAGGTACCGATGGCACTCACCCATGAACGCTGAGGGGATCAAAGTGAGAAATTGTTTTTGGCTGCGCACGGGTACCCCGTTTTGAGGGTCTTGCATCTCCCGCACCAGCCCCTCCATCTGTCAATGAATTTTATTTCTTTTAATAATCTATTTTCTTGTTCTTATAATCGAAACAACAAAATACGATGAAATTTTATGGTAAGTACAGATCGGGCTATTAATTGGATTGGTCGATCGAGTGTTTTGTTTTTCCCTTTTTTTTTTCGAAGTGGAAACTTCTTTAAAATCGTTGCGATTTGAAAAGAGAACAAACATTTTACATCTAAGAGGTTCATCCACGAGAATTTGATAAAGTATACACCGGAATTATCGCGGACTCTTAAAATAAATTACGATAAAATTCAATTGATTTTAAGTAGGAATGTTAATGTTACTTTTGCATCGAATACAGCGTGCTACCTTTGATTGAGTTCCTGAACAACAATTTAAATTTAAAAGTGTGCAGCAATCGCACTGAATCGACAACAAGTAATCAAAAATAGTAATTGACGATGTATTTCAAAGATATATTGATCAAATCAAAAACCAAAGCATTTATTTCTTACTTTAGTTATATCATAAACCACTCGTGTTATTTGTTGAAAATTGAGAACTTAAAGTCTTCATAATAATATGTAATGTAGTATATGTAAAATAAAAAGTAAACATTCGTCTCATTTTCTCGAAGTTTAGTTTTCTGAAGGTTTCACTTTTACCGCGTGTGAATTGCACGCTGCATTGTATTTTTTGTTTCTTTTTTTATCAATAATTTTTACCTTATCGAAGGCGTAAGGCCTGTGAACACGTGACTCCTTCTCTTTTTGTTGTAGTTGTTGATTGCTAGAAGCCTCCATCGCGATCTTGGGGGCCCTCTGCGTCTTTGGCAGGAGCAGTGGCGATATTTATGGCGGAGGGGGCTGGGGAGCTGGGCCGGAGACGGGTCTACCCGAACTCCATGGGGCTCTGGCCCCATCCCATCACTCCAGTCACCCCCGCACGCCCACTGCACATATTAAATCAAAAATACACAAACTTATTACATATTTTTAACCAAGTTAATCAACTCGTTGTACTTATTATTTTGATATAGAATATATACTTTGTTGTTATTTAATTTTTTCGTTACTAGCAACTCATACACTGATCATCATCAATGCGACGAATACTCTTACGCGATAAAATTAATAAATTAATATTAAATATTCGTTAATTTTTAGTTGTTTTCTTTATAAATACATTTGCTTTATACCAATGAATGGATATAAAATTATACAAATTTCCAACTATTCTATTTGAATTTCCTGTTGGAAATATAATTGAACAATTTCAACGTGTTATCAATGCCACGAGTTTACTACTCAAAGCAAAGAGAAATTGTTTGTAATAGTAGTAACCGTAATAGTAATAGTAATAGTAATAGTAATAGTAATAGTAGTAGTAGTAGTAGTAGTAGTAAAGAATGGTAAACTCGCCTACGTGAATATAATTCTTGCGTGCGCCTGGAAAGTATGCGACCGTTTCTACATTGTCGTAGCCGTCGTTGGAATTTCACGAACAACGGCTGTAAGTCGGCACGTGATAGTAAACGAGTTTTCTATTAAATAGATGTACCACTGGTTACACCATCGTTATTTTGTCGAAGAAAATTCCATAACAATGAATGGGGATGAAATTTCAAAAGGAATTCGAACGATTAATAAACTTAAACTAATAAACGTAAAGAAGAAAATATCTGGAACGAAGAATAATTTGTTGAGGATAGAGTAACGATAGTAACAATAATTAATTGTTGTATTGTTTATACGAATTAAATCTCATTTGTACAATCTGATTTTTCTCTCTCTCTTTTTCTTATTGTTGTCTTTCTTTCGTTCTCTTTCTTTGTCGTACGATGACACAATCCATAATGAAAGAACAAGCCTTGTGTTCTTGTAATCCCACCGGACAAGATTCTTTTGTTCCTCCTTATTTATTTCTCTTGCTTTTCTTTCGAACTAGATTTATGTCACTTTCGATGATCGTGCCAATAACGTGCTCGACGTAGTCGTTCTATGCTAGGACTATTGTCTCCAACATGGAGATACATATCGATCCTTACTGGAGAATAACAAAACTGACCGTATACGCAAAAAGAATCTCTGTGTGTGAGCGTTAATTAAAGAAAAAAAAATAATAAAAAAGAAAAAAACCATCCACAAGTTCGAACAGCTTATCGCTGTTTTCACCAAACGTCCTTCTACCTGTTTTTCGTTCCTTTAAATGACATTTTCGAGTCCCACCGTGACGTCAATCAAAATGTCGACACATTTGCGAAATTCTCTTCGCTAGTTTGAAACCAACCTCCCCAAGTGTTTGTATATTTGTATTTTCGTTTCCATGTGTATGTACATGTGTATGTGTATGCGTATGTGGGTGAAAGTTCCATTCGAACGTTCGAAAAGTTTTTGCAATTCTACCCTCATTACGTTTATGGAACAGTCGACGCGTTTAATATAATTATGCGCAAAAACGTGTACGCATATGTGCAAGAAGAAGAAGATAGAGGGGAAGAAGAAGAAGAGAAAAAAATAAATGGGGGGGAGGAACCGCACATTATATCTATAATGATGAAAGAGCACTTTTTTTCTCCAAGGAGAATCAAAGGAAGCATTAATGAGAATAATTTAAAAAAAAAAACTATCGAAGTTCGAGCTAAGTAAACGTAAATAATGACCCTTTCAAACGATTTCTTTAATCTTTTCGATAAAAATCATTTGAATCTTTGATCGAATCATTTTCAATACTAATTATTAATCATTTATATAAATTTCTCGAAATTTTAATAAACTCCTTTATAATTGAATTTAATTTTTATTATAATATAATTGCTAAATATTTTGCGTTGAATATGTTTGAATGAAATTATATCACAGTAATCAACATTTCATATTGAAATGAACGTTGCATGTATTTTTTTTTTTTTTACTGAAAATTGGAACATTAGTTGTTATTAAACTCAATACTTTTCATTTCAACTTCTTTTTTTTTTTTTTTTTATATTGGAAACGCAAGGGAATACATTGCCGCACATTTTATATTGGATTTTCTACTCTTATCACATACTATACTTTTAATTCTTTTAATGTCATATAAAAATATATATACGAGTAAATATATAAAACACATTTGAAATAAAAATTGCAAACACTAAATGTCTAAGGTATTCAAATGGTTGAAACATAGAAATGTGTATAGAAATCCAATAGCATTGCGTGCTAACAATATCTTCTGTATGTTTAAAGATAAGATTTTGGTGTGCTGTGAACAAATCCATTGAGGAAAATGAACATGTGACGATAATCGCGCATAATCAATAACACAAAATCACTCTGACAACGATGCATACAAAAAATCTACACTAATGACAAACACATCATACATAATAAATTTTGTTTTGTCCAGAGTATACCAACGAAGATTTCGAATAGTAACATTGATGAAACCATAAAAAAAGAAAAGCTAAACGAGAAAGAAATGGGAAGAAAAAAGAAAGCCTAAATATCGTACTAATAAAAAGAAAAATAAAAATTACCAACACGTTAGACATGAAAAATAAATTCAGTATTGCAGTGAATTAAAAAAAAATTAAATTATCAACAATGACATTATTAATTCTCATTTCGTGAAAACCAAATACGATATTTTAGTTTCAACCTATAGCAACAAAGAGATTATAACCAAGAAGATGAACGATGATACAGATATAATCGTAAAATAAAAATAAAACTAGAAAAAATACGTAAACGGAAGGGTCTTCTGGAAACGTATTTTGAAAATAAGATCAAATAAAATCAAATAAAATCTAATAAAATCCAATAAAATAATAATAATAATAATAATAATAATAATAAAGCAAGCATATAAAATGTAGAATTGGGATTGAATTTCTATCTCACATTTCTCGGATCGCCGATAATCGTTGGGCTCTTTTTCGTGACGATAAAACGCCGGCAGTCGCGTATTACAACGAAATGGCTCTCAAATTGATCGGGCGAACGGTCGCACGTAGTAGACGACGCTGATTTTAGTCCACCCCCTATTCTCCCCTTTTTCTCCCTTAACTCTTTCTCTCTTTCTCTAAGCCATTGGTAAATAAAACGCTAAAATTGAGCACCCGTCGAAAAAGCTCAATCTCTCTCGTTCGTGGGACGATGTCGACGATAGATTGAAATTTTAATTGGATTCTGCCTATGAAACACAGTGGGATGAGAGAGAGAGAGAGAGAGAGAGAGTGAGTAGGGGGAGGGAGGAGAGAGAGAATTTCAAATCGTACAAACGATTACGCAAGGGTAGACTTATTCTACCTTTTCATAATTATTGACACCTTGTTAACCAAAGTTTATTATTGAGATCGTCAATCTAATATTTTTCATATATATTTGTACACGCGTGCATACATTTGTTTATGCATTTACGTAGATTCACTCATTTTAGAGAATAGATAATTAATAATAATGATTATTATTATTATTATTATTGTATATGCATATGTATATGTAATAATATTCGATTGTCAGTCAAATTAAGTCAACTATATTGGCTATGTTTTGTTATTATTATTATTATTATTATTGTTTGCGAACAATTAATCTCTGGTTGGTAAAATATCGAAGCACGTTTTCATTTACAGCTAGCTAGCTAATTGTTAGTACACTAATTTATTATTATTACGTTTATTACTAATAAATATAATAATAATTGTAATAAATGTGATTTTTTTATGATACTCAGTGTCCAGTCACATTTAATAGATTGCTAATGTTGAAGACAAGACAAAAAGCTAAATCTGTTGCAATATGAAATAAATATAATTATAAAAAAAAAAAATATTAATTTCGTGTTTCATTTTAGATTCAATATATTCCATCATGGCAGGACAATTATCGAGACGGTAAATCAAGGAACCAGGACACGACATACCTTTTCCGTTGCCACAGAACCGTTAGAATGGAAAAGTGTTAGCAACGGAACAAGAAAAAAAGAAAAAGAAAAAAAGAAATAGAAAAATGCTTAATACACATACACACATGTACATAAACACAGAGATATATTCGAAAGGAAGGCAAGCCTCGTTTCAAGACTTTACTCGTTATCGAAGAACGATTCTTTCTCGATGACTTGCAATCACTCTTCTCCCTTCAAAAACATCGAAGAAGAAGAGAAATAGCATGTTGCTAGCTACTTCCTCGAGTAAAGTCGAGTCCGGAGGCTCTCTGGTTGGTAAAATATCGAAGCACGTTTTCATTTACAGCTAGCTACCTAGCTAGCTAGCTAGCTAACTGCTATTGCTTTGATCAAACGGCTTGAACGAGTATCGTTCGCAAATACACACACACACACACACACACCTTCTTTTTGCCAACCCTTTTTTTCCTATCCAGATCGAGTGTTCGGAAAACGAGGTCACCGGTGTTGTAGGCGATGTGTAGTAGTCAACTTTTGGCCGTGGACGTCGTAAAAATGACTCGCGGAATTGTGACTGATCGAAAGTAAAACGATAAGAAATCAGAATCCAAGCGTTTTAAACCTTAAACATGATCGATATATGTATTTAGGTATACATATATTTTCATGATATTAAATTGTTCATTAATGCATATGCATTTTCGCGTCTAAACTCATTCACACGAGGTTGCTATCTTAGATGGAAAATGATATGACGTGGCTTGGTTGGTTGGTTGGTTGGTTGGTTGGTTGGTTGGTTGGTTGGTTGGTCGGTCCACTTTTCGCTCGTCGCACGATATCTGATCGATATTTATTACGGTTTACTGCCTGAGTTGGACTCGATATGAGAATGCTAGCAATGCTTGATCATTCGCATTTCCATATTTATTAATATCAATTTCTGAGAAAAGTTATCTGCCTTAGGAAAGAAAAATATAGAGAAAGATAGACAAACACAGAGAGAGAGAGAAAGAGGGAAAAAAATCTAAACAACGTCGGACCAAAACATTGATAAGTAAACAGTATCTCACATACACGTATACATGTGTGTGTGTATGTATGTATGTATATATCGGATACTCTGATTCTTTGTATACATGCGTCTATATGCATTTATATTGATGTGTATGTGAAAACGCACCCACCGAGATCGTATCAAGGTACAGAGAAGTGGTTCCGTTCGTCCCCGTCGCTGGTCAGTCGTGTTTCAAAGGAGGAAAGAACGCACGTACAGCCATCCGTCATCGTGAGATCCGCAGCGGAGATGCACGAAGCACGATCTTCCTCGTTCGAACGTAGAAATCACCTCTTCCTCTTCCTCCTTCTCCTCTTCCACGACCACCACCAACTCCTCTTCCTCCTCCTCCTCCTCTTGCTGCTGCTGCTCCTCCTGCGCCTCGGCCTCCTCCCTTCCACTTGCTTCCTCGAGCTCTGGATCGACCGCCGTCGTTGCGACAGAGCTTGGAAAAACAACCGATGGGAACCAGAAACGGATAGAGAGAGAGACACTACCAACTCTTCCCTTCTTGGACAACCTTCTGTTGTTCGACAACGTTCCCTAGATTTTTTTTATTTCACTTCTTACTTCCTCCCCTTTTATATTTTCCTTTCTATTCTTTTCAATGATAAAGGTAATCAAACTTTAGCACTGGGTATCACGAGGAACACTATAAAAGCTTTTAATCCAGGACGAGACACTCCTTTATTTGCCCTTAACTTTTATTCTTCTATCTTCTTAGATGAGGAAATCGCACAAGGATCTAATTATCGACCGGCACTCTCTCTCCCTCTCACACACACACACACACACACACACACATACATACATACATACACACACACTCTCTCTCTCTCTCTCTCATACATTCAAGATCGCTTGACAGCGACGAGCTTTTTTCTACTTCCTTCCTTGTTTGCAAATATGTATCTAATTGTCCCTGTTTCTTTTTTGTTGTTGCGCGTGTGCTTTCTCTCTCTTTTTCTCGGCTTATTATTTTAGCAATGAAGTAGTACACGTCGAGCCATCCGGTGGAGCTCGAACGAGCTTGCAAGATTTTCTTCGGTTAGCTCGACGAGTCTCTCCAAAGTCAGCACCACTGTCGTCCAGCAGCGTTCTAGCTGTTAAGGTAGCACCGCGCGCACCCGCGCTACGCTGCCACCAGCACCAGCACCAGCAGCAGCACCAGCAGCAGCAGCAGCAACAGCACCAACACCGTCACCGCCTCCGACCATATTTTGGGGGAGGGAGAAGCTTTCTGGGGTGGGACGAGGATTCTAGTCGGTGGTAATGGTGGTAGTGGTGGTAGTAATAATAGTGGGGGTGAGGGTGGTGGTGGTGGTGCTACTGCTGCTGCTACTGCTGCTGGTGGTTGTTACCGCCACCAAAAAGAGAGAGGGAAAGGACAAGTAAAAAAACGCAGTTAATACTAAAGGGAAGATTCCTCCTTGTCCTCGTCCTCGTCCTCGTCCTTGTTCTCGTCCTCGTCCTCGTTCTCGTCTTCCTCCTTTTAAGGAATAGCAAACGTTCAATCGCATCCGTTCACCAAGGTGTGTATTCAAATATTTAGCACAGTCAGTCTGGACAACCCGAGTTCGGTTTTACTTCATCGACGACAATTCATGAAGCATGACCACCACTAACAACAACTGGGAACGGACATGCGCGTCTACCAAATCTTCCCCTTTTCTTTTTTTTTCTTTTTTTCTATTCAATTCTAATTCGATTAAATTTATGATTGAACTCTTGAAAGACTTTCTTTCTCTTATATCTGTTATTCTCTTGATCTTCTTATTTTATTTGAAAGCCGCACGTTCGCTTCCTTTTATTCAATGTCGTACTCCTCATCGTTCCTCGAACGCGAAGGAACGACGACGGAAGCTCGACTCCTCAGCACGGACTCACAATATCGCTTCCTTCCTACTCCAACAACGACGTAGGTTCGTTCTCTCCTCCGCGTTCGCTGAGCTTTCGGTCGTATTCGTACGTTTTCGTATACATTCGCGATAATACTTCGGTTAAGTTCGGCTCCTCTCGTCCACCCACCTTCGTGAAAGCTCTTTCCCTCTCTCACAGATACACATATGTCGTACACATACTTGTACATACACATGCGTGTTGGGTGGTGTGTTTGTGTCGGCTGCTGCTGCTGTCGCTGGTGCTGCTGCTGCTTTCTCGCACTAGGTCTCCCCGCAAAGCCCGAGTATATACCTGCACAGACGAACCTCACCGAGTTTCACCGAAGACCAGCGAAAGCTTATTCTCTGCACAAAGCCGACACGCAGCTGGGGATTTCGAACCTTTCTTTGTATGCCTTGTCGACACGTCGAGGACGTCTTCTCGATATATTCCTCAGACATGTTTTAGGGTTGCTCTCCTTTATTTTCTTTCGATCACAATTACTATCGAAAAATAATCATATATCGATCGTTATTTGTTCGCTGAATGACCGAGCTTGCAAGCTTGTCGCGAACGTTACTTCTCAATAAATTTTCTTATTTTTGTCAAATCACATATCAATCTCGATGTTATTTCATTATCATAGGTAAATCATAAATTATTTAGCTCGTAATTACTTTTTTCTTTTTTTTTTTGCATTTTTCGATATAATTTAACGGATTAAACTTTGTCAAATAATTAAGACGATAAAGTTTCTCTCTTTTTCTTTCTATCTATGAAGTACTATGAAACTATAGGAGTTGCAAGTATCGTTGGTAAAATTCAGGGCGTTCGCTTGATACCATATACATAAAGAGATCCAACGTACATATATACATATATATGCATATGCGTGTATGCACAGGTACATAAACTCCAACACAAGCGCGAGATAATTGCTTTGCTTGGAAGAGTTACCAGCTCGATTTTCCTATGGAAATAAACGGAGATTGATAAGTTTGTTTTGCTCGGCTGTGAGAGAGAAAATGGAATGCGTTAGTAATAACTAACCGAATGTATAATGAAATATACATATCCATACTCGAAGCTGAAAAACAAGCAAAATCCCGGATGTCTCTTTGCTCGTTTCATCGGCCGAAAAGAGAAACAAGAGTAACGTTCCTGTGTGGGTGGTAACAGCAGTGATAGTGGTGGTGGTGGTGGTGGTAATAGTAGTAGTGGTTGGTTGCTTGTTGGGATGAGAAAAAGGAAAAGAAAAGAAGACAACAATAAAAAAGAAAAAAAAACAGGGGGAATATCGTGAAAAACGAACGCTTTCAACGGTGGGCGGATTCAAAGAGATAGTGCGAATACACGAAGGGATAAGAGAGATCTAAGACGTATAGAGATTTGCCAAGGCAAAGGACAGTTCTCGCAGATGGAAAATATGTGAAGAAAGAAGAGCACTCTTCGTTATGAACATCCTTGGAATAAATAGAGACGAGTGAAACGAGGTAAACTCCGACGACGTGTCCAATGAGAGTGCACGTGTCCTCGAAAGGAAGGGTAGTCTAATTGAAGTACGCGTATATTTCTATACTTATCTTTATACGAAGAGACAATTAAAAGAAAATATAATTCAATGTTTAATACAATGGACAAATTAATAATCAAGGAGAGTCTAATGATTTTTTTTTGTAGATACCACTTCTAACGAATGTTATTGATGAAAATTCAAATATTAGAAATCAATATATAATCAATAAAAGACCAACAAATATCCTCTACCCCATCTAGTTGTGTTTTTTTTCCTTTTACAATAAACAATAAAAAGTAAATAAAAGGACAGGAAATAAGTAGTCCTGGATCGATTGGATCCATCTAATTTCGTAGGTTTTCGGAACAACAACGGCTAGATGCTACTTGAGACGAGCTTGGACATGGATGATCATTAAAAATATGCTTTGTGGTCAGGGATGGTTGGGAAGAAGAATACCCGGGGAGAAAGAGAGTAGAAGCCTCGAACAAAAGAGTCTACGATCCGAATAAGAGCGTGTTGAGATATTTCGATCTCGTGGGAGTAAATGGAGGGTCGGCGTAGCGCCGTAAAAAGGTCCTCGCAAAGAAGAGTAAACGGGATAGCTGAGAGACATCAGCGTGCTGACGGTTAGGGTGCTGCTGAGTAAAAGAACCTCGCTAAATGTGGGAGAGAAAAGGGATACGTATATACCATCCTTACTTCCTTCTTTTCTTTCCCCGTTCTTTTTCTTTCCTCGGGTAATCAAAACTCCCGAAGAATGGTTGGAAGAAAAAATGGTGGAAGGAGAGGGTGGTTGAGAGAGAAAGCTTTGCTCTAATGCGATGTATGAATTATACATTCACCGGTAACTGTTGTCTCTCCAAAAATTGATGGAAAAGAAGCGGGAAAGGGAAAGAGGAAAAGAAAATAGTGTGTACGGGATAAAAAATAAAAAGAGAAGGATCAACGAATAAAAGGATTCGTTCGAACATTGACACGTTAAACCATATCGATTTCTTGTCGTATAGTTGCAATTAGGATTAATAGTTTTCTCGCACGAGATTTTCTTGATTTGCTCATAGATAGGTAAATGGTAATACGTGTATGTATGTATGTATGTATGTAAATATCGAATGAGATATGATGACGAATGAAATGAATATTTATGTGTATCACATCTATTGATTAGAAAGGTTCATATGAAAATCTGGTTATACAGGATCGATATTTATAGAGTTTAGTAAGGGGTGGTTTTTTGCTGATTCCATTTGACCTTGATAGAGAAGCGGCAAGTCCATCTCTCTCTCTCTCTCTCTCTCTCTCTCTCTCCATCTCTCTCCCTCTTTTTCTCTCGGTGACAGCGAAAAGTGTAGACTCTCTCTCTCTCTCCCTGCGTGGCACGATGTAATCGTCAGGTTCTTCTAACCAAGAGCAAGTGCAGTGGCGCAATAAAAACTTGGAGTCGCGCGCGCGTTCGGGAATGTAAAGAAGGTGGCTGACGAGCGTAAAAATCTGATGCATCGTTTGTTATTGGTCGTTGTTGGCGCGCTTAAGAGATTTGCCTCGGTTATGCCAATAAAGCAGAAGTAATAGCGTGTGTGACGTTATTCGAATATATAGCATTCGTTTTTATGCATAAAGAAATTTGCAATCGGGTCTACGTCAAGCTGTGATAATTAGATGGAGGATAAAAATAGAATTGGATAAATTAAACGGCGAAAATACGAAGGGTTGTTAGGGTTAGACATTGAATCAGGAAAGTCACCTGCCCACACACACCCTTTGGGAATATCTTATTTTTTATCTAATCATTTTACACCGTATCTACATTTCTCTAAAGGGACCACCTTCTTTCTTAATACAGCACTGCTTTCACTGAGGTCTTATTGATCAACGATCAGTATAGACGTCTTGCAGCTTCTGGAGTTTCACACGAGCCAGAGTTTCTACGAACGCATAGGACCATATTTTCTCCAAACTTTTTCTTCTTTTTCTTCTTTTCCTTCTTTTTCTTCTTCTTCTTCTTTTTCTTCTATATATGTTTTTAATCTTATGTTTGTTTAACTCGTTTAACACTGTTAGTTTCCTAATTAATGGATTATTTCGATGAAAATTTAATCATCTTTACTTTAGTTATAAGAAATGAATCTTTTAATCAACTTTAAAGTTTCAATTCACTGTATACGTGTATATGAGCATACGTTTATACGTGTGAAATCAACGAGTATTGTTTCAACTATTAATGAAATTCGTTCTTTAAAACATGAAACGTCCAATGAGGATTATAATGATTGATGGTTTTAATGTTTTTCCTATTTATCTCGACAATATAACTTGTATATACAATTTCAATAATAAATCGATGCGACTTCTTCTTAAGAAAATGTTTTCTCTCTTTCATTGTTATCTATTCTTATGTTGATATGTTATGATCGATAGAACGTCAAAATCAGAAGAGTTTGGGAAACGCGAAGGGGTCGATACATCGAAAAGAGTAATTACGCGTAAAACGTTATAGAAAAAGGAGAATGAGAAGGAAAGAAAGAGAAAGAGAGAGAGAGAGAGAGAGACAGACAGACAGACAGAAAAAAAGGTCGAAGTAAATTGTCCATGGACCGTATTAAATATCGCATGGAATAATTTACGGGTGCATCCGTATCTTGTTGCGCTTGACCTATTTTATCTTGGACTCTCGGGAACGTGGCAGGCTTGATGTGTTATTACTTCTTCGGAATTTAATTAATTCCTCTTCCCTGAGATTTTCAACCGTTTTCAATTTCAAGTCGATCTCTAATATTTTCTGGCCATTGTCTTAATGAGAGATATTTTTGTCCTTCGGCAGCGAAACTCGAAGGCCAAGATATCGAGACTAACTATTCGACGGATTGAAATAAACAAAATTGAACACAAACACATACCGAAATGTCCCAATTTGATTTCACAAGTAAAATGGTATCCATACATTTGTTCAATAAAATATTTATATTAAAGATATAGTTTTTCTATTGCAATTGAGATTACCATGATGGAAGCTTTAAATCCCAGGTTTGTCCTTGAAATCTAAAAATTCATCGAGAGAGTCGATCGAATTTTTTTATATTAAATCCAATATATTTTGATAACTTTTCTACAAAATACAGTTTTCTTCGCAAGCAGCAAATATCGACAAGTGATATATGCAGTCCACTCCTTACCATAATATTACCGGGTAATATGATCATTACCAACATAAATTTACAAGGCACGCTCTACCGCGAAGTATCACGAAAGCCCTACTTCAGAGAAAACTTTCTCGACGTGTTTGGTGGTACGCACGTGAGAGCTCTTGCGGTGAGTTTAACCGACTGCACTGCATACGCGTTCGAATTTCATAATGAATGGAAATAGAAATTCTTTAAGAGCCTGACTCCTTCTGACTCCTCCCTGTTTGTTACACCTTACATTAGTCCAGTTCAATTGGAATAGAAACAAACAAAAAATAGAAACGATTTATTTTATATTGTCAGACATTGAAGAATTTATCGTTTATCTGACTCATATGTTATGGTTAGTTAAGAGAAAATTGGACAATTTATGTTGTTTTAGAAAATAATATGTTATTTCAAATTACTCGAGTACATATAT